AAGTTTTACTTGTAGTGCCAAAACTGTTCTCGTAAAACCGTTCACACAAGGAAACCCTCCGATCAACAAGAGTGGGCAGATTGAGTTCGTTCAAACCGTCTTTATACGATAAATCAGGATAGATAATTTTCAGAGCACGGCGTTGAATTTGTTCAATTTGGTCGCACAAAAATACAGGCAATGAAAAATGCCACACGGGGCAGGCATACTCTAGCACAGGTCGTATGAAGCTACAGTATACATTTCTAAGATCCCACACTTCAACGCCGTTTCGTTTCAATATTCGAATTGCAAATAGACGTTTACTGGCTTTGGAACATATGTGGTCAATATGCGTCGTCCACTTTAAATCAGCAGACAAGTACACTCCCAGAAGCTTAACAGTGTGGACAACTTCGAGATGTTGATTGTCTATAGATAAAGCAGGGAACGAATGTGGGGCGCTAGACAGAGATATATTGAATTCTTTAGTTTTTGTGACATTCAATTTCATATTATTCTTAACCGACCATTGATTTATGTAGTCGATCTCACGTTGTAAACTGGATGACTGCAAGTCAAATGATTTAATGATTTCAGTAACCGCACAGTCGTCAACATATTTGTACAATGGTGCATTACATCTCAGATCGTTCACCATAATAAGAAAAAACAAAGGGCCTAATTTGGTTCCCTGAGGCACCCCAGCTGCGATTTGTTTCCAACTTGATTTGTGAGTTCCCACTTTAACACGTTGTTGTCTTTCTTGGAGAAAGCTCGAGCACCAGTTTAAAAGCACCGGAGGGACCCCAAGGATCAATAGTTTATGCATGAGAATGTTGTGATCAATTCGATCGAAGGCTTTTGCAAAATCGATTAAACAAGTTCTGATCATCGTGTTTGGTGCTTCCAGGGCAGAAAGCCAATAATGAACTAAGTGTACAAGGGCATGTGTAGTAGACGATCTTTTGACACTTCCAAACTGGTATGTTTTCGAGGGGGCCAAATTTCCGAAGGGGAGGCCATATTTCCTAGGAAATATGGCCCCTAGGGGGGGCAAATTTCCTAGGAAATTTGGCCCGGGGGGGGGGCAATTTTTTTTTGGGGGGAAGGGGCAAATTTCCTGGGACACTGGAGCAAATTTGGGGGGGGGGGGCTATTTCAAAATTTTTTCCGGGAAACAAGTTTTTCGGACAACAACAACCTCAATTTTTTCGGACGAGTACATTGTAATTGATTTCCAGCGACTTTACCTCAATTTTTCATACCAAATTTCGGTACTTTGCCCAAAAAACCCCAAAGATCTTGCCACGTTTGCGCGGAAATACTATTTCACCCAAAAAAATGACTGGGGCCCAACAAAAAAATTCTAGGGCCCCTCAGAACCTGGGGGCCCGGGGTAATCCCCCTGCCCTCCCTCTCGGCGGCCCTGCACACTGCTATTGTTGGTTGGACGAAAAAACAGTACATTTCGTGCAAAATCCAAGACACAACATAGGTAATGACGTCTATTATGCCTTTATCGAGTTTCCAAACCTTGCATCGAGTTATATTGCCCATGAACCGATACAAAAGCCAAGATTAAATAACATCTCCTTCTGGTCATCTTCGAAACAAATGAATATGAAATACATGCACTTTATATGAAATATACATGTTGACTGTTGTATATAAACACGTTTGCATATAAATTCACGTGTAACTTCAGACATTTTTCTCCATATTCCGACTCAAGGTGTAACACCCAAGCATTTCCACGTAATTTCTTGTATATACTTAGTTTTTCATTATATTTTAGTACAATAACGATTCGTATTAGACTTAGTACTATAGACATGTATCTGTGCTCTGTAGTATTGGTACTGATAATGTAATATTTTGAGTAGATAGATGTGTTGTACTCTAGCTTTCAAAACGTTTTCAGATTTTACGTCAGAAGGCATCACGAATACCATGTGATTATGTGAACAGTGTATGTTATTTTTTAAACTTTTTATTTTATAATAAATATTTGTGAATAGAGTAGTTTAAATTTTTTGGTAAAATATAGTCCTAGACTTGCCAGGAGTTCGCATCACAACTTTTTCGCAAGCTTGTAGCGAGCGCGTGTCGTAAAATGATGTCATTTGAAAAGAAATTTGCGTAAGTTAGACTATTGTGTGTAATTGATATTTGATCGTGTTTTGAATGGTACATAAATAGCTTTTTGCCCATAGATTTTGATCAACGAACCTGTAACAAGTCTGTTGAGCTCTACAACCTTGTAGCAACTTGTCAACAAGCTGGGAACAAGCAGTGCGAACACATCCTGTTGATAAGTTGTTGGAACATCATTGCTACAAGTCTGCTGCAGGTTTGTTACAACTTGTGCGTTTTTCTTCGGAATCTCGTTCCCCGAGGCCCGAACCCTTTTGGGCTACGCCTGGATGTGTTTTTAAACTAGACCAAGTTTTTTTCAAAATTACGAAACACTGCACGGCCTCGGCGCTAATGTGACTTCTGTCAAAATCATTTGGGCATGCAGTGTTTGAGTGTTGTACAGAAAGCGAGTTTTGGTGGACATTTTTGTTCAAAATGTTTCGTTTCTTGCTGCCAGTATGTTGTGCATTCTTCATGATTCTTGGAGGAACGACAGCTGACAATGCAACGATTCCTGTCGTTATTTGGCACGGAATGGGCGAGTTTTCAATTTCGTATGTCGCAATTAATTTGTTTAGAAGTTGCAATGTGAAATGTGTCATTTTCAACAGATGTTTTAAAAATTTTAACTTGTCTTGAACATTATAACAATAAAGGTATGATACAATTAAAAGTTGTTCTGATAAACATTTTAACATTAGAAATAGCCCAAATTTATATTTACCTGTCAATAATTATTCATACGTCATATGACACTGGTTGGGAAGATGAACTATTTCAACATCCCGTTGGCCACACGTTGCATTGTGGTATATGTCTGAATGTTTTGAAGGATCCAGTTTCGTTTCGACATAATGAACATTTCTTCTGTCGAGCTTGTATCACCATACATCTCATGAACTTTCAAACATGTCCATCGTGTATGGAACCACTCGTCGAATCACTGCGCCAAGCAACTCGGACCGTAACGAAATTACTTTCCGAATTAAAGATCCGTTGTCAATTCTTCGATCGTGGTTGCGGACAGTTTATTGAATTAGGAGATGTCGAAAGGCATGTCACTGACTGTGGGTTTGCCCCAGCAGTCTGCTCTAACGCCGGATGCCAACTTGAGGTGAATAAACAAGATTTACTACACCATGAAACAGCTGTGTGTGAACTACGCAGAGTCAAGTGCCACAGTTGCAACGAAATCAGACAAGAGATGGATACAGTGAAAGTTAATTTGGCAACAATGAATGAAAAGTTGAAAGGAGTTGGAGAACAGTTGGCCGGAAATGAGAAACAGATGGACAGAAATCAGGAGAACGTCAAAACACAATTTAGAAATGTGGTCGCAAAAGTTGAACTGGTTCAAGAACAACTTCGAGGACAACTCAACAAGCAGGAAGAAAGCAATCGTCGGCTCGAAGCGGACAATGTAGAAATAAAGAGAAGTTTAAATGAAATTACGAAACAACTGAAGAGAATGACACAACAAACATCACATGAAGTCCAGGCTGAGGAAATGAAGAAAGATATTGTAGAAGGTGGAATGGACAGAAAGCCGAAGGTCCTTGTTGCTGGAGGCTGGGATGGGACAAGACATCTAAATTCAGTGGAAATGTTCAGTCACTCAAACGCAACCTGGACACCACTAAAGCCAATGAAAGAAAGTCGTACGAGAGCATATTCAGTTGTTCACAACAATCAAGTTTTTGTCATTGGAGGTCATGATAAGAATGCAGCAATGAAGTCGATTGAAAAACTATCATTGAATGCTGTTCATGCAGTTGACCAGTCCATAACTTGGGAAAACGTTCTTGTTAAGTTACCTGCACCATTGAAGGGACACTGCAGTGTAGTTTATAATGGACGGTTGACAGTGATTGGAGGTTATGATGGTGGTATATATTCTGATAGTATTATTGAGATTTCCCTTCTTCCACCTTATACCAATAAACTGTTGACTGCCATGCCACAGTCAAGATGTCATCATGGTATTGCAATGTTTGGTGACAAGATACTGATTCTTGCAGGTACGGTCTTAATCTTGGCTTATAGTACGAAGTTTGCAAGCGTTTTGCTGTATGATATTATTAAGAATGAATGTAAGGAGTTAGCAGCCCTCCCCTACCCCGTGTCTGCAATGGCCACAGTCAAGTGGGGTGATGGCAATGTGATCATAGTGGGCGGTGCTGACAGCAACGCTCAACCATTAAACAAAGTTTTATTATACAACATCAAGACCCAGAAGAGTCGTATGTTACCAGACATGAAGTATAAGAGGAAAGGATGTGTGGCTGCAGTTGTCAGAGACACTGTGATTGTCATGGGAGGCCGAGATGAAAGAGGAAAGTACTTAAAGTCTGTAGAATGTTTTCAATTTGATCGCTATAGCTGGCAAGAACTTCCTGAAATGCGGGAAGTGAGATACTGTGCTACTGCAGTTGTATGTTAATTATGCATTGTATATATATTAGCAACCTAACTAAATTGTTGCAGTATTTTATACACTTTTGTACTTGGGATATGATCATACTTTTATGAATAACATTTTGTACCAGTTTGACCAAGTTTAAAGAAAAATTAATTTGTTGAAAGCGTTGAATTTATAGTTGAATAAAGTGGGGTGCATTAGGGCACATTGTGGCTTAATGGGTTAATAGTAAAGCACTAAGCTGCAATGTGCCAAAACGTACCCTATTTTATTATTTTACTCTTCAGATGACTTTACTCATCAAAGGGAGAGTCTTGCATGTTAATGGGTTCAAGACATAAGCACACAGTCTGGCCTATTACTGCCCAATATTTCAACAATATTTTCCCCCTGAAAAGTAAACTTGTTTGGCGTTAGACAGAATATAGAACAAAGTAGGAACATTGAGGCGCATTGCAGCTTACATGTAGTGGGTTGTTTAATGGGTTAAGCCCATTTTCGACGAAGGCGAAATACTTCGCATGAAGCGACAAGTAAAAAAGTAGGAACTTTTTCGCGGCAAATTTTGTTGCTAACCAATTGGCAAAATTTTGTTCGCGCGAAGCGAAACAAAGGGACCGGTCATTATTTATGGTGGGGGGTGGCACCGAAGAGAAATGTTTTTCGTAGCAAAAATTTTGCTGACCCAACCATTAAAAAGTCAAAAATTTGATTACCCAACCTCAAATATCAAGTAAAAAATAAATACCCACCCCTGGCCAAAATTAAACTTTACAAAAGATTACCATTCAGTTGTCACATATGTCCTTTACCCGATTTCTGTGACACTGAGGAGTTTGATAACTGCTTGTGAAATTTGCTGCAGTCTAATGAATCATGTTGTCTGCATGCACATGTGCTTTCTTTGAAGACACCATTTGTCTTCTAACAAATTGGAAAATGATCAAGACAGTGACTGATTGATTCACATATTGTATTGACATATGACTATAACTTTTTATTACCCAATCCTTGAGTTGTTTTGTTTTTCATTTACCCAACCTTTTACTTACTCAAAATTTTGTTTACCCAACCTTTTTCTCTTCGGTGCCACCCCCCCGCCATAAATAATGACCGGTCCCTTAGTAAGTTACACTCAGATTTGGTTTATTTTCATATATATTATTACTCTAAATTCCTCTAATACTTGTTGAACAATACAGAACACAAAATTTCGAAAACATGAAATGTTGTCAAAAGCACATGTTCTTACACGCGCGAAGCACACGAAGCGCCCACGATTACGTCATCCAGAACATACTCCCGCGCCTTTGTGGATGGGCTCTAATCTACTTAATCCCAGAGCCAACGGCGCGGAGCGTTTTGGGGGGAAAAACCGTTTTCCATTAACGTTCGCTTTGCCCGCGCGGGCGAAGCGTTCATTGTTTTTTACGCCTGTCACACCCGCGTGAGCAGGTTTTCTAAGCCCGCTCAGCCCGCCCAGGCAAAGCGACTGCAATGGAAACCGGTCTTAAGCCCGAGGCGAGGGTACTAATTCCGCTCATTTGCATACTTATTAACATTATGTTTTAAAGTAGAGTTCAGAATGAATGGGTTAGACGTAAGTTCGAAAACGCCTCTCCTAAATCGTAACACTTGAATATGGGGAGCTTCACTCAATGGGTCATTAATCCATAAAAATTTCATGTAATCACGATGTTCCGGCGAAATAGCGATGTTTAGGAAGACTTAATCTATATCTGCTGTCACAGCAACTGGGTGCACGCGAAATCGATTAAGGATATTGAATATATCAATGGTTAGAGGAGACCCGCATAAAGGCAGTCATTTAATCTCGGTCCGTTGTTCCTTGCAGATGCGTCATAAACGAGTCTAAGTTTGGTCGCATCTTTGTCTTTTTCACAACTCAGCATTGTTACTTACGTTGAAGCGTATAGCCGCTTTGGGTGAGACCACTCCGTATTTTTTGTTTCTTGCGTTCATATATATTTGCTTTTGGTGTGCACGTGGTACTCAGTCTTAATTAATATATTGGTACTTGCACGTTGAAGCGTAGTTACTTTAGGTTGGGCAATTTGGTATTATTATTACTTGCACGTTTGCATGTATAGTTGCTTTTGGTGAGGCAACTCGGTCAGTTTATTGAAACTTGCATGCTGAACCGTATAGTTGTTTTTTTGTGAATCGAATTTATTGTTACTTGCATGTTTATGTGTATCGTTGCTATTGGTGAGGTAATACAGCCTTAGTATTGTTATTTGCGCGTTGCGGCGTATATACATGGTTGCTTTTGGTGAAATGCAATTCGGTAAATTGCATTTTGAACCGTATATTGCTTTTGGTGAGGGAAGTTAGCATTATTGTTATACTTAACATTTATGTGTATCGGTGCTTTTGGTGAGGCAACTCAGTGTTATTCTTACTTGCACGGTGAAACGTACATGGTTACTTTGGGTGAGACAACTCAGTATTATTGTTATTTACGTTGAAGCGTATATATAGCTGTTTTGGGTGAGGCAGCTCTGTATTTTTGTACCTTGCGTTCAAATGTATAGCTGCTTCTGGTGAGGCAATCAGTCTTAATTAATATATTGGTACATGTACGTTGAAGCGTATAGTTGCTTTTGGTGAGCAATTTGGTATTATTGTTACTTGTGCGTTATTGTAACTTATACGTTTACATGTATAATTGCTTTTGCTGAAGTAATTCGGTATTCTGGTAACTTGCATTGACCATGTAGTTGCTTTTGTTGAGGCAAGTTAGTATTATTGCTATACTTACACGTTTACGTGTATAGGCGCTTTTGGAGAGGCAACTCAGTCTTATTAGTACTGGTACGTTGAAACGTATACTACATACTATAACGTGTTACTAGCACGTTATACATGCAGCATGTATAGTTGCTTTTAGTGAGGCAACTCAGTCTTATTGGTACTTGTACATTGCAGCGTATGGTTGCTTTTTGTGAAGCGAATTAGTATTATTGTTATTTGCATATTATGCATGGGTGTAAGGGCTAATCTTGTTTGGGGGGGGGGGGCACAGTATTAGTTTGCCCGACTATTCTTTTCACATGATTTTTGTTGCTAATTAATATCTCTCCCGGGGGTCGACTAAAAATTTTTCGCGACATATCAAAATATTTTTCCTAATATTCCACAATTTCCCACACATGAAAAATTTTTCCCGACATGTTAATAATTTTCGCAAGTATACAATTTTTTTTCCGGACATATCAAAACATTTTTCCAAAACTTTTATGTTGTTTTGTCCGAATCACGCATGGATTTGCCCGACCATAATTTTTTTTTTGAGGTGGGGGGGGGAATATGCCCCCATGCCCTCACGACGGCACATACGCCCATGATATTATGTGTATAGATTTGTATATAGTTGCTTTTGGTGAGGGAAGGTATTCAGTCTTATTGGGACTTGCGCGTTGCAACTAGAGTATGGTTGCTTTTGGTGAGGCAATTCAGTGTTCTTGTTTTTTTAATGTTGAAGAGTATATGTGGTCTTTCGTGAGGCCCATCAGTATTATTCATTCTAGTGCGTAAAGTCCTGGATGGTTTAGTAGTCGCTTTTGATAAAACATGAATGAATTTACAGATTTCATGTTTTTGTGATCAAGACCTCAGTGTGGTCGCGTGCTTGTGTGAAGCAGTTTGCTTTTAATTAGGCAAGGAAATATTTTTGTTTGTTTTAATGGTGACGTGACTTGTAAGATAAGTATTTGGTGAGGCAAGATTTAATTCATTTTGTTTTTAGATACAAAAGCTCGCTTTGCTTGAAGCGAAGTGTTAAATATTCCTTTGGGGGCAAGATTTAACTTAGTCATTAGTAACAAAAGCTCGCTTTGGGTGCCGTGCAAGATATGCTTTGGCAAAGTCAAACTGTGCTTTGGGTGCCAGGCATGCAACATTTCATTTATAACGTAAGATATTTATCGTGCGTGTTAAGACGCTTTGGTTATGTAAAGTGCATGTTTCAAGCCGGCGTCCGCCAAAGTTGAAAACTCCAATCTCAATATTCTTTCAGTTAAGCGTATTGTGCCGGGGAAGCGGGCAGTGAGAATATATTACGATTTTGTGCTACTTTTATACTGTCTGACAATCACGCGGTGTATATGGATGACCAACTAATCATATGACCATAAATATTCAAGTTATATGCTGTTGTGAGAGAAAGCTCCCAGTGAGAATATGTTACAATTCAGATCATCTCCCTCGGTAAATATATACATGTTTATGGCTGTGTCCCAGGAAATTACACTCCCCCTGTGGGCCATATATTTCCTATGATATTTCCCCTCTTCGTAAATCCCTCCCCCGCCAAAAAAACAACATATAGTTTACTTTATCTTATTACGTATGTCATACACTCGGAAATCGTAATTAAAGTTTCTTCTAGAACCAATTTCCCAACATTGTTTTTCAGTATTTATAGTTAGTTGGCATAATCTATTTGTGTCGAAATTCTCCATTGCGTCCAAGAACTAAAAGCTTGAAGGAAAGCGCACTTTTCGTGTTTGGTTTGGACCAGCTTTGTAGTATATCCTGCGTAGCAGGCGTTTAGTGCGGGTGGAAGAAGAGAGGGCGTCGTTGAGAAAACGCCTGCCCAAATGATATAACTAATTGTTTTCAGTGATTGACGCTTTGTAATTAGCACCACACCGGTTCACCCATTAGGGACCAACCATTTAACTTTTGAACGGGGGGGGGGGGTGATTTACTGCTGGTAGGGAACTTTTTCTGGGATCGTTATGTGCAAGAAATTGTTTTTATCCCATCACCATGTACCATTATTTTTTTGCCACACTTCTTTCGCAGCATCTTTTTTTCAATAACATAATTATACTATTTATAGATTCTTTAATTATAGTTGACGTTGAGTTTTCTAGCTTCATGCATTGCTCTTAATAATACATATTGCTATGAGGTATATAAAATTTGGTTCAGGGCATTTTTAAGGATGTGTAAATGGAGGGGACCTAATTAGCGGGGGATCTGGAGAAATTCCAGTCGACAAGTCTGT